ATATGAGAAAAATGTCGTAGCCAAGAAAACATACCAAGCCATCGGAGGACCCCACGATTTGGGGCCGCAATAAAGGTTTGATCGCATGAGGTAGGACAGCGCGACCGTCACTGGCGGCGTCGAGGGCTTCGCAGTCTATGGTCGCAAGGGGGCAGTAGGTGCTGTCATAGAGGCAGCTAAGGAAGCTGCCAATGATAATTCTCTGGCTAGGAATTAAATCCCCAGCCTTCAGCCTCTGCAGATGCGACTTGACGAAGCCCGGGTCGGAGGTTAGAGACCGCCACCGTTTGCAGACGCACTTGAATCGCATCAACGACTTGGCCGGTAGCATCAAGAGTATGTCGTCGATGCTATCCTCGGGGAAACTTTCCGCCATTGAGCAAGTTTTTTGAGTTAAAAGATCTCTCTGTTTATAATAAGCTTCTCAATCTTATGCTGATTGAGCAAGGCCCATATGAACAAGTGCTCAGCAAAAGTCACGCAACGATAAATTCAAACTCAAAGAAGCTTTTACTCAGAGGGGATCATGGATGAGGTTGATCGGGTCGGCAATGGCCGTCGGTTGGCTCTCTCGAGAGGTCCGAGGCCGTCGCCCGGCCGGGCGGAGGTGGGGTCTCGCCGGCGTGGGCGGCGGTCGCGCGTGGAGTCCAGCAGCTGGGCGGGGCGGAGAAGTATTTTGTTCACACAAGGGGGGCATGCTAAATATCAAAAGGAGAGGCAACCCTGATTTACACCATTCGCATCACCCTAAGCTAAGATAAACTATAAAACTGTGGATCGGTGAGTAAATCGGTGGTTCGTAGAGTATTTTAAAATTCGAAATTAAAATTTGCTAAAATGAAAATACGCAATTTTTTTTTTGTATTTTCTTCGGATAAGGCATGCAATAAAAAATAAGCAGAATATCATCCACCAAAGATAACAACAATTCAAAATTGGAAACATTATCTTAACTTAATATTTCTATTTCCTAATCTTAAGGCTTAAAGATCAAGATAAATTTTATAACCGCTAAAGGCTTATAGACAGAATCAAAATACCGTAATTCGATGCGGATTAGGATATAAATTCCAATTGATATTGTCTCTATCGCTCAAATATGCAATGTTAAGTAACGATAAGCACAAAATAAGCAATAAAATATCCAAATTGATTCGGATAAGATTTTTACCTAAACGCGCAAATAACTTTCCAAATTTGGACTTCAACAGCATAGGCTCGGGCTACGGTGACCGCGGTGGTGGCTCGATTGGAGTCGCGGCTGGATGGTTCACGAACTCCCCGGAAAATCGATTGTTTAACATTTTTTTTATCTTACTTATGAGATAGAAGAAGCAGAAAATTCTAACCTTTCTATTTTATTCGGAAAAAAAAAACTAGAAATTGTAACCATATACATATAAAATGACAGCAATGGAATGCCAATCCTTAGGCTTCTATTTCTTTGACGAGAAATTCAAAACGAAAAAACAAAAGAAGAAAAATGAGGGAAATCCAATCCCTGTTGGGAATGAAATTCGACTATTTTATTTGTTTCTCTTTTCACGTTCAGATGGAGAGATGAAGTAATATATTTTTTTGTTGGATTTGATTCCGTCAGAGCTAACGGCGCCCTGTTGGGAATGAAATTCGACTATTTAATTTGTATCTCTTTCCACATCCAAATGGAGAGATCAATTAATGTATTTTTTGTTGGATTTGATTATTGGGAAAAAATCAACATACTTTTAATGTCGAATCAGGATCAACTAGGACATATACGGTGACGTTCTCACGATCAGGACCAGGAAAGTAACTCCTCGTCGCTGGGCGGAGCAGCTCGTCGGTGTGGGACGGGGGAACCACGGCAGCTGGACTCGAGGGAAAACAGAGCAAAGTGCTCTGTTTCGGGAGAGAGCAGGAACAACACCAGTCAATCTCGGCTGGTTCGTCGTCAGAGCAGCAAGGACCAGACGTCGTCGTCGGCCGGCCACGGTGGCGCAGAGGCACCGTCGGACTGGATCAGCAACAGCGACACAACAAGGAAGGCAGCTCGTGATGGAACGAAGCAGCAAGCAGCGTTGCCTGTGCAGATCGCAATAGCACTATCTGGTCGTGGAATTGGGAGGAAGAAGAGGACGACTCTCTTTCACCCTTTTGGCGGTGTCTTCTATGGTGATCGAAACCCCCCTCCGCACAGCGCCAACTCAGCCAAATATTTTCTTTTTCTTCTTTGCATTATTCACCCACTTGTGCCCTTAAATCAAAAATACGTTTGAAGATGACAAGCTTCCTGCATGCTATTCCTTCCTTTCTTTAGAGAGAATACAGTCAGATGCAACTGATTTCCTTCCCTCTTAATCTTCTATTTGGCCGAAAATGTGACATTTCCTTGTTGCCTCTGATTTCAGCAAAGTTGCTCGATAACACGTGAACTTCAGGCCATCGTGATTTAAGGAGAAAACTATAGAAAAGCTTAGCCCAAATTCCATGCTCTGTCCACTCTTTCACGTGTATTTCTCTAAGGAAGTTGGACTTTCAGGAAGATATTTCGATATACAATGCCCTTTTCCACGTGAATATTGTTATCTCGTGCCCAAATGCTTCCTTCTTCATTTATCTGATCATGACGTGGAGAAGAATTCTCCAAGTCCACCAAACTTTCGGCCATAGCATGGGCTTTTGGCCAATTTTGTTTTAGCTCATGCGGGCTTAGTTCAATTAACTTGATTAAGCACGGAACTATTCATTCAAGTCCATCCACCATAGGCCTAGTCCAATGTACTGTGCAATAAATGCTCCTACAAACTATATGCCATGTAGTTTAATTATAATTATTTTTATTTATGGGCTAAAATTTAGTCCCTGATTTTCCATACAATTATTCCCAAATGGTACACCAAATTTTAGGTGTCAACGGGCTCTTTTGTTGAGTCTTGGATAGGAAATATAAACGACGAGAAAATTAAAGGTCTTTTGAGGCTGGGAATAATCATTGGCAGACATGTAAAGATACCGGGAATATCAAGATAAACAGGTTGATAAATTTGAAAAACTGATGTTCTTTGATTGATTGGCAGTTGTACAAACTATAATTCACGTATTTATATACTTAATTTACCCATACCAAATTGTTACTAAGACATTAAACTAATTCTATGTGCTTCATGCAATTTAGCAATCATTCATGTGTCTGGGATCGTCGATTCCACCACCTAACGGTTACGCTCCTTCCGTCGACGGTTACTTCCTTTGACGTTACACCTAAGTCCGTCGGTTTCAGTACTTGATGATTACTTCTCTGACGATTGCATCCGAACCAATTGTTTCCACTGTCTGATTAATATGTCTCTAACAGTTGCATCCATAACATTTTCCATAGGTTATATCCGACTTTATCGGTTCCATTACTTGGCGGTAATTCCATCTCCAGTTCGTCGACCGTTACAACGTGGCCCTTTATCAGTTAATTCAATCTTGCTTTGTCAACATTTCGCTCCAAGATTTGGTTATTTCGCCTATATTTCTTGTCAGCTAAAACTAGTTTTCTCGATGGCTAACTGAGTTTGCCAACTAAAAGCTTTCAACACTTGCCAAATCTTACCTCCGTCACTTCTCACTCGGTCTTTGCCAACCGAGATATCAATCAAGGATATGGATATTTTTTCCATGTCGACGTATGCCCTTTTTTAAAAGAATCAAATAATTTTTGGTTCTTTCAAATATCCGTATTCATGACCTACAAATTGAAGGGACGTGCATTCAATCATCGTCCTTTTCATATTAAATCTTTTCACTGGCACAATCTGCACGCGCCCTATCAGATGACATGTATTGAATTAAAGGTTGCGACTTTACATATGCTTCTTTACAATCTGAATCATCTTCAACCTTTCACTCTCAAGCTTTTCCATGGCAGCCACTACTCAAGCTTCAGCATTCTCTCGCGGGCACCCTGAAATGGATGCCCCTTGGTTTACTAGTCTCCAAAAGTTTAGGCGAAAAGGTAAGCTTTCACTTGAATTCGTGGACAGGGCCGACCGACCAAATCATTCTCGGTCCTTATTTCATATAACCTCCTGTCTGCCGATCTTTGATCGATGTTTTCCTCGCCATCACGAGGAGATCCTCCCTATCCATCGGGATTTCATCTATAAACTGAGTGTGGTCGAAAATAAATTATCGACTCATGGATTTTCCAGCATCCAATGAATGATTTCTTCAGTGGTTCTCGAGGCTGAAGCCTCACATGCTGCCCATCAGGGTACAGGCAAGACTGTATTTGACTTTGGAAATCTGTTGCCTTTAACCTCGATTTGGAATATAGTTTGATAGGTTCCCTCTGCTCTTTCTAGTCTCCTTCTGCAAATTGCTTTTCTGTGCAGGCCGGCAATTGCAGGAGCAGCCGACACTTCATCGAAAAAATGTGAACTCGGAAAGCTACAATTGGAATAGGCGACGCGAGCTATACATTATTGGAAAATAGGCTCGAAGGCTCGTGATGCGTAGCTTGCAATTTTTTGAGTTCTATTTTGCGGTTCTTGTGAAACTTCTACTTGGAGCTCAATTCTATATAAAGCGCATGGCAAATTCTGTCATCCGTTTTCTTCGCCGCGTGGTTTAATAGAGAGGACACGAGACGTTCGGTAGTTTAACGACATAGCGGAGTAATTCCATTTGGAATTAACAATTTAATCATAAAAATCAAATCATAGCAAAACAAGAGATCCATAAATACAGCAAGGAATTTTAAGGAAGTATCTGAGGCACAGAACCAAGGTAAAACTAATGAGGTAAAAAACGATCACAATGAAAGTAAACTGTTCTATGGACATGGTTGTAAAAAGAGGTCATCCAGCTGAAACCTTTCGCATCACGTGCAATGTAGCGCAACATCGTATGTGGACTTCAATTAAGTAATTCGACTATCGATTAGGAAACAGCAATATCACCAGTGTCCTTAATCGGAGAGACTACACTACGCTTTGATGCCAATGGTACGTTTCTCATGCCGTGCGAGAGCAGCCCGAACAGAGGATGGGTCATTCACGAAATCTTGTACAGCAATAGTATACACGACTTAGTGTTCAGGAAGGGCAAAATTCGAAAAGAAAAAACAAAGAATTGTAATCACATTAGACAAAGGGCCGCTGAATGTTCACTGCAGCAGTACAAGATGGTTCAGACTCTGATTCAGCTAGCACAAAGCTAATTGCGCGAGTTTTCCGGTAAAGCATAATGAAACTCAAACTCTACTTTGCTGTCTCTCACAAAAGCTGATACTACCCGCTCGATGCGATCCCAACACTTCATGATTCCATAGCACTGTCCTCCGAAGGCAAGCCAAAGATTCGCAAATTGTGATCCATCGATCCGACGGCAATGTATTTTGAATCCGGACCAAACTTAACGGAGGTCACTTTACCTGCAACCACGACCAGAATATCAGTGGGGGCCATATTTAGACACATACATGCAAGACTTCAAAGAATAAAAAGAGGAGGGGAGGAGGGGGAGAGACGACCTGTCCCAGATAGATCAGGGAAAGTCTTGATACAATTCCACTCTGATTTTACACTGGCAACTTGATATACTCTGGCAAAGCACAAAATTGAAGTTATTTCCCAAAATAGCTGGCGCTAGTAAACGAAAGAGGGAAGTCAGAATAACAATAGCTCCTGATTCCAGACATGCATTTCCATTGGACAGAAAAATAGAAGAACACGAAGTCACTCGATCTCAAATACTTAAAGAGGTAAAATAATCCTCCTATCGGTGCATAGAGTTATGGTCCTCGTGGAGAAACCATCGAAAATTCATGAAAGTAGAGAAGTTTCAAGAAAAATTCACATTTTTTAATTTCCCACTTTTCTGAGCACACGTTTGGTGTGATTCTTTTATAAGCAAATTATCGAAAACACATTGCTTTCCAATTTGTCAAAAAGTAGTTTTCAGCTATCAGAAAAATTGAAAGCAAGTGAGGCTACCAAATACAATGAAAATAAACAGGTAAATATTCTGTAAACAAGCACAATCCTATATTACCTTATTATTTCACAAGTTGAGTACAAAATCTACCATATAGAAACTCACCTTATATCTGAGCCGGAAAGTCCAAGATAGCATCCACTATGATCAAATTCAACTGCAAAATAGGAGAGAAACTCGGTCATAGTTACTCTTTGCACTGATAATTCACACACACTGACCCAACCCTTCTCCCCACCCCCCTCCCCTCTCTCTCTTTTCTTTTGTTCCCCCTTTAAAAAAGAAGAGAACATAGAACCAATCTTCTTTGAGGGAGTTCGACAGAAAAAGTTCGGTCTTCAGAACAAATCCAAGCAAAAAGGAAGGCATCTAAAGCTCACCGCCATCCCAGATCTACTTTCACTACAACAAGCAGGCCTAAGAGGATGTCATACCAGAATTTGTCCCCGTGTCTTTGTCATATGCTGAAAATGTGCGAAAGTTCTTCAACTTCCGCAGATCCCACAGCTTAACCCCATCCTGAGCTGCAGTCTATGAAATAAATATCTAAGTCAGATGGCATGTCTAAATCTCTGTTGATAATAGAAGAAAGATCAGAGCAACAAGTACCGCAAGGAAGTATCCATTCTCAGAGAAAGATATAGCAGTAATTGCCCCGGTATGCCCAGAAAATGTCGTTACATTTGCCTGTTTCAAAATGAGAAACAGTTGCAAAAGCATGTCACCAACCTAAAACGGACAGGAAGAGTAACAACAAATGCGCAAGAATGAAAACATGAGCAGCAGGCAGAATCGTGGAGGCAATTGACTTATCTCAAAATGATTGAGCATGATTGTTGAGCTATACCATGAAAAAAAAAATTTACTGGAACATTCCGGTGAATAAAAAAATGAGGATGCCAGTTAAATCATAGCATATGGAGTTCTGCCACTTAAAACTTCCCTCCTTTTTCTAACTGCATGCCAAATTGGCATATAGTGACTAAACTAACCAGGAGGACCAAAAGTTGAATAGACCATGGAAAACCGCACATCCAAATCGTCAGGGTGGGATGCAAGATTGGCATATCATATTCCATACTACATGGAAGTATGAAGACTAATAAAACAAATGTGGTGAAAATGCCCATTCAACTCAAACTGTAGACTGGGAAACAATTGTGGACCCAGCCAAAGTAATAACATTCCCTTTCCATCTCAGACTGATTGTGAACATAGTACCTGTGTTTTTACATCCCATATTTTAACGTCGGCATTTGAGGTGCCAGTACCAAGGATAAGACCATCGGGATGAAAAGCTGCAGATGTATAACCCTCAGATCCTGAAGCGCCTTCAACCTGCAGAATGATGGAGAATAAACAAGCAAGGACGATCTTAACATATCATGTGACAAATGAGAGCAGAAAACCTAAACCATTCATAATCAAAAGCACTTCAGTATCATGACCTAAAAATATTGTAGCGACACTGAAACTATCTTAATGCCTCAGACAATGTTCTCAGAATATCATATTTACTCAGGTAATGGATTTCAAAAGTTAAGGAAAGTTGTTCTTAGACTATTAAACAAGGAACATTCTTTTAAAGTAAATTATACCGTAAACTGATGTAAAAATATGTCATCAGCTTTTTTTGAACTATAATAGCTGTATTAATATGTATATATGAGTTGCAAAAGCACTGTAAGTGCAAAGCAAATGCAGTTTTTGTAGGAGTCTGACTTTTTCTGCTCAATCATTATATGTAATTGTTTTTTTGCCTGAACATCCATTACACATAATACAACTGATACAAGTTTTGTGTTGATGTACGTGTAAAATTGTGCGCGCACCCTCACACACACACACACACACCTAGAGAGAGAGAGAGAGAGAGAGAGAGAGAGAGAGAGAGAGTTTTGAAACCTGAGTAAGACATAAACCAGTTGAAAACTCATAAAAGCACCATGTATTATCGAGAGATGCTGTTGCGAAGTAGTTATTTGTGGCATGAACTGTGATTGCTTGCACCTGGAAAGATGAATAATTACATCACACATTAATCACAAATAGGGGTTAAGCAAAATAATCTGCCCAACAATGGATTTTTCAAGCAAAACTTTTTGAGGACATAGTTGCGCAATCTAGGGTAAATTCCAGACTTCTTTTGATACTTGCTAATGATATCTCAAGCATTTTCTCGGTAATAATGACTATCATCAGACACCAAATTGACATCCCACCAGCATCCACGGTCAAAACTTGCGATTGCTTGAAATTGATCACTATTAACTACATGATGCCAGCAACATAATTAGATAGTTCCATCCCAGATGATATCAGAAAAATTGTCAGGAGAATAAGAAAGCCGCTTCTACAATCAAGAATTAGTTCTTTAACATTAGCTCAAATGAAGCAACATTGAGATAAGCAAAATTTAAAAAGCCAACCAACAGTACAGTAAATCAACAATCATGCAACACAGCAACAGACCAACAACCATTCTTATGCTGATAGACGCTTTTCACCACCAGAATAAGGAGTTTGAAGAAAGAGGATGTTGGAAAAGGGCAGGAAAAAAGATCACACGTATCATTGCAAAAAAGAGTAAAACATAGTTTGCAGTTCAACTCATTTTTAAATTAATAAAAGACATGCATATAACAAAGTTGCTCAAAATGCATCATCACTTGATTTAGTAATTACAGTCTTCACAAGAATTATTATCCAGAAAAGACAGATGACGTTGACAGGAACAAGGAGATTCATTAGTGTACAGATTTTGCAGTCCAATCGTGAGTCCTATAAACAAAGCTCTAATTCAGAAGGCATGGCAAATTTTTGCTCAGTCTCAAAAATTCAAGAAAGTGCAAATTTCGAGAAGTTAGCACAATTCATTCCAAGCTAAGAAGATATTGTCCGGACTCAAAGAAGTATCAATCCTATTGAAAGGATAATGGGAAGTAGATTATCTGATGAGTGGTGTTTTGTTTTCATATGTAGGATGTGAGCATTCTCAAATACTTTTGAAGGCTTCTCATTAGCAGCCAATGAGGTGCTTGGTATCACATTGCAAGAGGGCCGATCAGTAATAATATCTCCTTTTGGGTTTGGTCTATTGGTTTAAGGAAGAAAGGTTCAGTTATTGGTATTGCAATGCTTCGTGAAGAAACCAACCTGGACTTATCTCATCGAAACTCACAGTTTCGAGCAAAATAAAATTAAGAACTTGACTTGAACCACTGAAAATCTTTGGTTCAGAATAGGTTTTCATATTTTATAATATCTCTTGAGTTTAAACAATCAGGCAAAACACTTCTAAGAAATATGAACACGACATATGGACAGAAGCATCATATCCAATCGCATCATAAAGAACTAATAAAGGAATAATTCCGTCTATTCATTTCTTCTTTTACCCCTTTCCATTAACCTAGCATGAAGATCGAAGATCCATCACTAACCCAAACCAATACCTAATGTTAGCTATAGAACAGGCACGCAAGTGTGAGTCTCCCCTGTCCTTCAGTTGTTAGAGTAAGCGAGAACAGGTGTTGGTTAAACTAGATCATAGTAGTAGCCAAAAAGACCAGAAATTTTTCTTTTCTAAGCCCTACAAAGGCCCTTCAAGAGTCTTCCACCAGGCATAACGTCGGGGAAAGCTCCGAGGACATACCTATTGCCAAATGTACGATACAGTTATTTTTTATAGGCAAATTGTGTGAGCAGGAGATACGCAATTCAGGAGATGAGGCATGCACAAGCCTCCACAGAATCCCTACATATTACATTTTGAGAAACCCCAAGTCACTCGAGCATTGTAGTACTTGGCAGTAGTGTCTGCCAATGACCTCATTATGGCAGAAATTAAATATATTCAGTTGATCAATTAGACCTAATACGTTTCACTTGGCAGGTGAGAAAGGCACTTCTGTGCAGTACATTGTCAATCCACTTCAATGAATTAAGCTTATGTTCTTATTATTTGGATTTCTTTCTTAAACCCCTTCCCTCTAAACTTCCAAACTACTGAACTGTCGAACTCTTTTCGAGGAAACTCCATCATATATATCTATACTAATGGTAACATTATTTATCAGATGGATGTATTCTACTGAAAATCAATACCAAACTTACAAATGGACAGAAGACAGCTTCATCATGCCCCAAAAATTGTGGCAAGAAAACCATTCAAAGAGTCTCAAATCCTCTAATAATTATGCCATGCCTTTTCTCAAGACTTTTTATTCAAGTGCACAACTGCCTCAGGAATAAAATCATTCTACCACTTGAAAATAACAGTCTTAATTAGGATTAAAACAATTCTGAATAAAATTTCCCTCCAGAACTCCAGAGTTCACAGCACGTCCACAAGTACTAAAATTTACTTCCAAGATCAACAAATCCATAGTCTGCACCTTATTTAATGATCTATTTCTGGAAAAGAATGACGAAACCCGTCCAAGAAACACATTTAGAAAGTAAGATGTGTCAGTGGCATCGTCACCAAAAATGGTACATGAATAAGATTGCCCCCAGTCCCATAAAGCCATCACCCTAAATTAAGTTCTACCAGATACCTCCATCTCTATAGCACTATAATGTAAAACACAAAAGTGAAACCATCTTAGGTCATCCTTCATTATCTGCTAAGTTTACTATAGCATTAAAACACCACTTAATGAAAATATACCCAACTAAAAAACCTAAATTCTCACTGGAAATGGACAAACCTTAGACAACACAGTTTAAAATCAAATCTACTGGGTCTAACAAACTATTCAGTTCAACCGCTAATCCTCGCATGACTGCAGCAAAGAATCTAAGCCAAGGCTACACTACAGTATAACAATGTTCACACCATCATCTAACTATTCGAGGCAGAAACATGTCGAGGCACAAACAGTTAATATTGCAGGTATTCTTGATCAACCTGCCAAATATTCCCAAAAGATATCCACTTACATCAAAACACTAAATCAGACAATGCACAAGATAAATTACCATGTTCGTAAGCAAGCTGGCAGACAATAAGCTGCACAGTTCAACTGCATGTGAATGATGAAGAAATTACCATCACTGCGCATCAAAATCATGTCTTTGGTTCCCAATGAAAGACTAGATTCTGGTACTTCTCTAGACTGCCTGTGTTTTAAAGCCTCATCACTGTATCTAAAGCTATTTTGACTCAGTACATGACTGAACAATACTACTAGGAGAAGGACATCCATGCTTCAGATAACAGGAAAAATCAACGAGATAGTTGAATAAACCAATTGAAGCAAGAAAACAGGCAAAAGGATTTCATACAAGCAAGAGACATAAAGTTTACACCAACGAAACATTTTTCAGCTACAAATAGGCATGTTTATGACTACGACCAAGACAGATGTGACACGGAATGTGTTTTTCCTTATCATAGTTGAAAGCAAGGTATTTGATTAAGAAAAGCAAGGCCACCAACAGTACCTCAGCAGTATGATCTTTCAATACATGCCGACAGTTATAGCTCCCATCTTCAGAACCTTGCCACACCCGCACAGTCTGCAGATCAAACAGATAATCATCTAGAGAAAGTACAACAAAATTACAGTAGTTACTACTTAAACAAAATATTGCAATCATTACGGTTAGAATGAAGAGCACAACGTATGTGGAGCCGACCACATGCAAAATGGAAGATATTCACCACAATTATTTATTTTCTCCTCTTTTCCCCTTCCTTTTCATAAGGGGGACTAGAGTAAAGAAATGCGGAGTTCTATATGAAGAAGATTCACATGTTCAGCAGGTTAGTACATCAGATGAATAGTACACGCCACTAGAAGTCCACGTTGTGCTAGGGACAGAAGAAAAAGATTCTTCAAGAAAAGAGTTCCAAAAAATCCAGAGCTGCCAGACATTTTTAACATCTCATGACACCCTTCATGAAGGGGAAAACATACATTCTGGCCTGTAGGTCGATAAATCCGATAGCAGGATGCATAATGCCCAATCAATTCAAATCATCCAGAAAACAAGGAAGAATCATTTCTATCAAGCATAAGCAAAGAATCGGCCAAGAGAATCTTTCATGGGCATATAATAAGTGTTATCTATACCAGGCTCCTAATTATAGTATTGTACAGTTGATCAAAACATTCACAATAACCACAGAATTTTAGGGAAGAAAATTGTCAAGTCATTCATTTTAAAGATTCACCCAGATCCAAACAAAAAAACTTTTGCACCTTTTCTTTGCTCTGTATTTTCAACCCTCCTATTACCAAAAAAGGCCACTGGTCAATGCACATGTCTCCAACCAAAAAACAAAATGCATGTGTCCTCCACAAGCAAGATACAGCAGTATTTTGATGAGACAATTAAATAAAAGAGTAAATAAAAAGGTATTGGCTTTTTAAAGCATCGATATAATATAATATCTCTGAATCTCCAACCAAAGACAGCTTTGAATCACCATCCATTTTCTCCTCTAGCACACTTGGCATTGATAGCGCCATATCCCTACCTGTATTATTGCTGACCAAACAGCAATGTCACAATTACTGTAGCATTTCTCCAACTTAATGCCCAAGTCCAAGCCCTAAAACTCAAGCATGTCTTCGTTTATTTCATCTCCTTCCTCATCCTCCATTATTAACCATATACTTGCTCTTTATTTTAGCACATAACCCTAGCTTTGTGAATATTATATGCATGAAGGATGGAAAATCTGAAGAGATAGTTCTGAAAGCAGCTTACCTTATCTGCAGAACCAGTTAAAACCAAATCACCTTGGACATCAAATTTTACACTATTAACCTAGAATAAGATGCACAAACAAGGTAAAAGTCATTTCACGAAAAGAAAAAGAAGACATTCGCCCTCCCAAATCAAACACCCACCCCCAGCCCCGAAAAAAAAAATTGTAAAAGGAAAACCTTCTTTGAGTGCCCTGATAGTGTAGACATGATCTGTCCAGATGATCGATCAAAAAGTACAGCAGATGTGTCGATCCCACCAGTTGCAATGATATCCTGTTCATAGGAAGAAATGCTTAATTAAAGGAAAGCAAATAACTTCGTGGAAGAACATCATTAGCAAGATGATATGTATATTAATTAAATTGCTGAAGTATCATGAGAGGAGGAATCAGCATTGCCAACATAAGAGACGTTTCGAGTGGTCCTTAATAACATACTACATATGGTCGGAAACATTTTCAGGTTGCACAATTGCCAAATCACACCCGATTTTCCAATTGTAACTAGAAGTTCGGCTAAGCAATATATATCAAATTGGATTTCAACAACTTCACCATAAACTCTTCATCATCCAGAAAAGACTTGAATTCATTATGGAGAACTATTAATAATACAAGACCAATAATGCATCTCAAAGAAACAAGAAAAGAACAGATTCAGCCCTCAAAATTTTCAGTTAACAGTCGAAGTATAGAAAACACAGACCAAACTAAATCAACAAATTTCTGTTTTTTTTGTGTCCTGTTTGGTTATCAAAACCAAATAGTTTAAAATTTTCGGATTCAGTTCACAGGTCAAGACTTCAAAAGCCTGTTACAACCAAAAGAATTATTGTTGCAGCAAACAATAACATGACTTCTTTTATTTTCCATTGACAGCTTAGGCTTTAGTATAAGCCGCCCTAATGGTCTGTGGTTTCTCATCTTTCAAAGCAAAGGTCAATTTTCTGACCAAGTAGTATTTCTTACACTGCATCTCTCTTTCTGTCTCTCACACCCTCATCGAAGCTGCATTCATACCATAGCTTCAGCTTTACTCTGTGCCCTCTCAGCAGATTGATCAGATTAAACAACAATAAAAACTAGAGAGAAGGGATCTGCCAGCGAGTTGAAGCCCTAAACTACTATGAAATCTTATTATGTACATTGATCCCATGTTGGGGCTATTCTTGTAACAAATTCGATGACTCCAGGAAGAAATTTTCCAAGAAGAGAGATAAAGCAGAATCACCAAAACTAAGTGTAAGGTCTCTATCCGTTGATCTACAGATGAACAAAATCTGAAATGATCTGAAGATACAAATTGCTTGAAACAAAAGTTTTTCGTATATGTTTTATCTTTGGTTCTACATTATTGGCTGCTGCATTCATCTATTTTGTTGTTCATTTTCCTCATTCATCTGTCAAACCAGAAAACAAGATGTCATATTCATTCTTCCCAGCCAAAAGGTTGAAATCAAAAGCCATACAGGACAGAATCATGGTTCTAGTTCAATTTGACTTTGATTCTTCATCTATTTGGTTTGCTTTTAATTTGTAAAATCAATACCCAATGGATCAGCTTGTTATAAAGTCAAACTGAAACCTGATTTGAACCGTTTCAACCTGTATACCCCTATCTATAAGTAATCAAGCATTTTTTTATAAGCTTTGAGTTGCACTGAACAACGAAAGCAACTAAGGTGTTGATAAAGCTTTACAAGCAACTCTGAGTTTCTGAAGTACCTTTGCTACTAAATCTACAAGAAGACAGATGAAAGGTCAAAATCCTAATATATGTTTGACAACCATGCGTTACATTATCAGCACACGAAGCATACAAACAATTGAAGCATTTTCAGCAATAAAGTCAGCCACATTTAACAAATTCTGGATGAAAAAGGAATATTTAGAATCACACCTTGGAATGACAAATATCAAGAGATGTAATGCCTGGTTTGCCAGTTTTGTGCAGCGGATAACTAGACAGTTGAGTGTACCTCTCCACATCCTCGACAGGAGCCAGTGTAGAGGGAATCTGACAACATTTAAGGTCAGTTATAGATTCAGAACATATGTAGTAACCATGAACCAGAAGAGAAAATGAAAATAAAAAGCAGCAACCAAAAGGAAAAAAAAAATGGCAAAATTATGGTGTAAAAAGTAAAACCAGAAGGACAAAAAACTGATCGTAATAATGTACCTGTCGCTTTTTCCGCTGTTGAGAAAGTGCTAAGTTACAATCCGTTATCTCAGCAATGATGCTTGCAGAAATACCGGGTCGCATTTTCATCCCAGCATAGCCTGGCTCTTCATCTAGAGAAGCTATGACATACAAAGAAAACTAAAGTAACTATTTGATCACTGATCAAATGTCAAAAAGCTATGCAAGACATCAAAAGGAAGAACCTTTTCTCCCATTGCTCAAGGCAGGAGCATTCACTGCAATATCAGAAGATGCTGCCATGGGTATCTGTCTTTCAGCCTGTGCAAGTAATGATCGGGCTTCATCCCTTTCCTTTTTAAGTCTTGCGATAACACGGCAAGCAGCATCATGCTGCAAAAAGTGACAAAGCAGGGACAATTCCATGAAATTAGTTCCATATGAGTTTTAACCTATATAAAGTTTAAAGTAGAGAGAAGGGGTCAAAATTAGAATCTACACAAGAGAACATACATGACCCTGAAACAAGAAGAAACTTTGATGATTGGAAACTGTAATTGAATGAGTATATTGTCATTTAATCTCTCAACTGTAAATCAGGCTTAGTGAGTGTCCTCTGCTGAACAAATGCATTTTTTAAAGCACAACATTCATGAAGAAGCCACAACTTTTCTCAGGTGAAAGCATCAAAAGAGACACAATAGTCAATTGTGGTAACGCACTCACTGTCTTTCGGATACTTCTATAATTTCTATCATGATAACAACATCGATGAAAACTAGTAAAGTTTGACGAACCAGCACATCCAAGAATCTACTTATTATACGTATGGTGGATAAAAGAACATTGATACTCTCAAAATAATGCATGATTGGCGCTATAAGTCAAATATCTGGTTTCCACATGATAGATGCTTGTATGACAGAGACCAAATAATATGGCAACGCTGACTTCAGACCAGATACCAGTTAACTTGACATCTGATCCTAAATAAGGTGTAAAGAGTATGATACTGCATCGTCCAATACCTGGTACAATGCATGACTTAGCTCTTGCCTAGCTGTGTGCAGTTGTTGTTCCAGTGCAAAGTTGGAAAGCATCAAGCTGTCCCATTCCTATCAGATAGATATAAAATGACTGTTAAATGCACAAGCATTAGACAAAAGAAGTTTAAGTATTCACTGCATGCCAAACAAAGGAGTTGGATATAGCAAAATAACAGTACGCTACATTTTGGAAAATGCTGAGCAACCCAGGTATGCTGGCAGCCTGCAAGGGTCTGGGCTTGACGATCTGCATTAAAAGCAACGGGAATCAGGAAGAACTTCCATGAAAGTAGCAGAGCATTATAAAGGATTCAAACTCATAATGCTAAGAATACCTTTCCCATTTTCACAGGAAGGATATCATCCATGGTAAGTTGTTCCCCGGTGACTGGGCACTTTCCAAAATCCTACCCAAATGATCAAGAAAAATTCATTATTCTCACATGAAGACATCCGTGTAAGAATTTTATGCATGAAGACCATATACATCATATAGAACAAAGGAAAAATCCCTAAACTTTACCATTCACACATGTTAAATAGCCAAAAGATGCTTGACCCCTTATCATTTTCATGAAAGATAGTATCGCGATGATTCCACCAAACAAAAAGAAACGATCCTTTCCTTTTTATATCAATAGAAGAATGCAGAGTCCATGCATCTTGTATTCTATAAATCCAACTAGCTATTCAGAAAAACAAAATAACTTCTTTTGATTGTAACTACTACCATAACTTACTCTTAAAAGCTTAACCTGTGCACTGTTCCCCATGGCACATGCAAAGGAACTAGACAACCATCAGAGAAACTACATCTACAGTTCCACTAGCTCAATTCAGCCGACATCCGTTTTTCTTTTCAATTCAAGAGAAAGCGCAGACGAAAAAGAACAAAGGGATAAAATTTTTTACAGAACCCAAAATTTATTATTTCCTTCTCTCCACTGCGCTCTCACCAATTAAGACGTGCAAAGAAGCACGACCAATTTATTCAGAAACCCCCATATCACCAAGAACTTATTTAGCAACTGAATAAACGCAAGCTACCGATTGCTAGGTCGTAGGCTAATGTCACTGTCACCGCTACCCAAATTCTCATCTCTCTCACTCTCTCTCACTCTCTCTCCCTTCACATCCGTGTGTCTTCTCCGCAGCAAGAAAAAAGAGAGTGGGGGAACAAACGAAACGGAACGAAGGAACATAAAACCCTAGAGAGCGGGGACACCAGACCAAGACGTATTGCTCGATGAGGCGCTTCTCGAAGACGTGGCCGGACTTCGTCGAGACGACCGGCTCCTCCGGCACCTCGCCGGATACTGCAGCCAACAGAAGGAGCAAAAACACCCATCAAGAGCCCAGATCAAACACCTCGGGGGCATGCACCAAAACCCCCCCCCAACCGAAGCAAGTACAGACGCTTCGACACACGCAGAGAGAGAGAGAGAGAGAGAGACGTACTTGAGCAGTTCATTTCGCTAGACAGAGAGAGAGCTAGGGCTTCGGTTCCGCCACACGCGGCTTCAGGGAGTGGGAGAGTCTGCTGCACAAGCGAAGCGAACGCCGCCGCCGCTTCTGCTGCTGCTGCTGCTGCGGAGGAGGAGAAGATTTGGTGGAAAGATTTTCGAGAGCAGCGGCAAGAGAGGAGAGAGAGAGGGAAAAGAGAAAATGAGGGAGAAGCTGGAGGAAGAGCCGCCTCAAAAGGGCCCGTGACGTACGGGCCCAAGTGACGCGGGCCCAAAAGCTAAGCCCGGCCCATTTGAGCCCCTGGATCTTTGGCTAAAGCTGGAGCGTCTCTCTGTCTCTCTCTGTCGATGCGCCTTCTCAGCTCCTATTCTTTTTTGCAAATCGCCTGTTTAAGAAAGAATGGGGGTGAGTAGATTTTGAGTGTTTGTGGGGTGGGCATGGCTGTGTATTTCGACCTTGCCGCGGGCTGCCGCTTGTAGGCGCGCCGAGCGCGATGACCCAAGGGGGGTCGTTGAGCATGCCGGGGGAGTTTCGAGGTCTTTGAGGTTGCTGTGGGCGGTGGAGGAGTTAACTTAGACGGTGATGGTTAGTTCTTCGAATGTGGCGGTTGCGATGAGAATGGGCCCTCTGGGGCTTTAAACCTTGCCCTAGGCGCATGGGCCATCCCGGTTCGATTTTATGATGGGCCCTTTCTCGCGCTATCAACTATATCCATACAAGGATCTATAAGAACTAGCAAATTATGTTCTTTTAAGCCTACATCCTACTAAGAGGTAGGGGTGTTAACAGTTCGTTTTAATTCGGATTTCTTGAAAATCCTAACCGAACCGAACTGTTGGGGTGTACACTTGAACAGAACAAAATTTCAAGCCAAATCGAATATGAACCCAACCGAAAACCCTGATTCGGCTCGGTTCAATTCTGTTTGGATTGGTTAGGATGAAAAAACCGGCTTTTAAGGTTTCTCGTGGTGATTTTGAGAGGGGTGAGGAAGAGTATTTGGTTTTTGTTCAGAATTTTTGTTCGGTTACTGAACCGAAATAATCCGAATTGGAAAAAAAGAACGGTTATTGTTCTTATTATCCAAATTGAAAATGCACAAATTCGATTTTCGATCTGATTTTTGATTGACAGACACTGGGTGTCAAAATATTTAATGTGGATGTTGACTCATATTGAGGATGCGTAGCTAATTATGTGTTGAGATATCAAGTTTTTTGTTTTCATGTTGAATATTTTTGGGATGGATTGAGATCCTTTGAAATTAGATTTTAGATTTACATTTCAAAGTAAATGCTCGACGTTGACTGTCTAGACAAGATGAGAAGCTAGTCGTTGTTCGGGAAATTGTCTAGTCAACCAAAATACCCTCATATTTCGTGTAGAATTACACAAAATCAAAACAGCACATCTAATCTCTCTCTTTCTTCCCTCTTCTCTCGGGCTCTATCGCCTTCAACCATCTTTGCACGTTGCCCCCTCAGCCGCACCTTGCCCCTTGTCGTCAGTCGTTGCTCTTCGCCGCTGCTGCCTGTTTCTGGCCTCCGCGTGCCGCGGCTTGACTTGAGCTTGCGCTGCTATTGCATCTTCTAAACCAATGAAATCCGACAAAATGGAGGTCCTCGACCTCGGATTCACGGCCGTGGACCTACACTCTCACCGGCCCGACCCCCCGAGATGGATCCAGAGAGACATGGAGACGAACCGGTGAGCAGCAAGGCGATGGCAAAGGTGGCGGAGGGTCCGTGACCTCGAGTTCACGTAGGCGACAGCACTATAAGGGTCGTGAAGGCGCGATGGAGATGGAGGTGACACAACATAGCGGGAGGCTAGCTGCAAAGGGCTATGGCCCCGTTTGGTTTAGCTTTCCCAATAGGCTTTCGACCTCGAAAGGGAAAAATACGAGGTGTTTGGCAAGTCATTTTGGGACTCTATTGGCTAAATGCTAACATTTGGCAAATGCTAAAGCCAACTTTTTTCTCCCCAAACTACCCTAACTTATTCTGGCTTATTTCTCTTTTACCCCTCTTATTACTGTTCATCTTCTTGGTGAGGGCGGCCGGCGAGGGCGGCCGACAACACTGGATTTGGACGACGAAAGGCCGATGAGAGGCCAGCAAGGTCACCCGACCTAAGCGACGGCCGCCTAGGGTCGCGCAACCAGCTGATGACGTCGCTTAGGGTCGAGCGACCACCCAGGCGCCGTCGGCCTGAGTCGCGCGACCCTAGGTAGCCATCGCCTGGGTCGCGCGACCTCAGGCCTCGTCGCCTGAGGTCGGGCGACCCCTGGCGAGAGCCACGCGACTCAAGCGTGACCCTCGCCGAGGGTCGCCCAACCTCGGGCAACGGCCGCCGGCGCCAGATCTGGCTCGCCGGCGGCCGTAGCCCTTCGTCGGCTCCGGCGAATGGTACTTTTTTTAAATAAAAAAAGGGTCCCAAAGCCCTTTACAAAAAAAAAATAACCAAACACTACTTGGCCCAAAGTAGATTCACAAAGAATTTTTTACCAAACGTCATGTGTATTTCCCTAATGGGCTTTAATCTAAAGGTATTTGCATTGCCCCAAGGCTCATTTGCAAAATTGAACCAAACGGACCCTATGTGTGCTACCAATGGTTGGATCACAGTAGAACGAGAAGAAAGCAAAGGGAAATTAGGGAAAAAGAAATGGAAAAGAAATAAAAGGAATAAGAATGAAAAATTGAAAGTAGGTAAAACACATATTGGCCGTTCACTTTAAAATTGACTAATGTGCCAATCATTTAGGTTCCATTCGTTTCATAGGAAACGTTTTCCTGGAAAACATTTTTCATAATTTCCGATGTTCAGGGGTGAAAAATAAGCGGTTAAAGAAAATATTTTCCATTCAATGAAGAATTTCTTTCTAAAACTGGGGAAAATGATTTCAATTCTTGAAAGGAAGGAAAACATTTTCCAATCTCCCCTTTTCTCACGAGTCCTCTCCTCCTTTCTCCAGAGTTACTCCTTTTCCCCATCGTTCTCACGCAACCGGGTTTTCATCTCCAGAGTCGCTCCTCCTCTGCGGCTGCCTCGCGCTTCATTTGCTCCTCCTCCGATGCTGCCTTGCGCATCCTCTCGTCCTTCGTCTCGTCCCACGGAGAAGTAATTCCCCAAATTTGGCAAGCTCGTAAGTCGACGGTGAGTGAGGTCGCCTTGCTCACCCAAGGCCGGCGAGCTCAAGCGAGGCCGAGCCTAGCCACGCCTCGCCTGATGCTGGTTGCTGATCACGATGAGCCTCTCTAGCCTTAGGCAAGCGGGCCGAGCCTCACCTGTGGTCGGTCGCCGTGGCCGGCGACCGACAGAGGAAGAAAGAAAGAGAAAAAAAGAAAAGAAAAGAAATCTTAAAATTTTCAAAAATAAGAATAATTAAAAATTCGATTTTTTTAAAGTAGTGTATGAAGGAAAATATTTTCAGTACCGAACAACGGAAAATACTATTATTTTTCTAGAAAATGACTTCCTAAAAATATTTTTCAAAAACGTCATATTTTCTGTGAAACAAACGGAACTTTAAAGTGGTAAATTTAACATTTCCGTAACTTTAGATGATCCCGGTCATTTTGGAATAGCAGCCAAAATTTTGATGGAGCTAAAAGCCTCCACCACCCTTATAAACTCCTACTCATTTCCTTTGATTTAGTAATTTGCTTTAAGGTAATTATGAGTAAAATCATTGTTTCATACGCTGCCTAAGAAAACTTCGATTTCTACGACCCAACAGGACTACGTTCCTTATTTTAGCGTGCTGGTGTCCGCATGTCCGGCCCTCATAATTGGAGAGAGTTTTTTCTTCCCTCTCTTCTGGGAATACCTCCGAATTTTAACGTTTTAGAGTTCAGACGAAGCAATTTTAGGACATACTCAGGTCCAAAAGTCATCGTTCATACTTTGCCTAAAAAAACTTTGATTTCTACTACCTGATATGATAAGTTTTTTTTTTTTTGAAGACTTCTCTTTTCTGGATTTAGATTAACCCTTTTAAATTCAAGAACATCTGGACTTATTGAGGAGGCATCAGAGTGACATGAGCAAGAGATGTCTTCAGTGTATAATAAAATTCTGAACAAACAAAGCCACACCCCGATTGGTTTGAAAAGGGCAGCGTTGGCGCATCTTCTGTCGACGGTGAAACTTTTGAGTCGCTTTGACTTCTTATATGTGGACTAGCCCTATGAATTACTTGTATATGTTGTCACCGACCCTTGGTGTAAATGAGAAATGAGAATTATATCATCAAGCTCGTATGGTTAATTCTCATATGATTCCAAAAATGTGACTGTCAAAATAATGAGAGTTGTCAACGAATTTGGCATCTCCGATAAAATCTTCCGCATCTCCGACAATGTCTGCAGCATCACACTATATAATGCTAGCGTGAACACCTCCCTTATCAAGAGGCTGGTCTAATAGTTAAATCCTGTTTGCAATGGTATTTTCTTTAGAATGGTCTCCAATAGTTTTATAATGTTGCGGCCAACATAAGTGTGGGCTCAATACATTAGAACCCCCACTACAAAAAAACAAGGATTTAGGCACGGAAATTAGCGACGAATAATTTTTCGTTGCTAATTTGCGACGAATTTTTTTTTCGTCGGAAATTAGCGACGAATAAGCGACGAATTTTTTTTTCGTCGCAAATTAGCGACGAATAATTTTTCGTCGCTAATTTCCGACGAAAAAAAAATTCGTCGCAAATTTGCGACGGACAAAAATCCATGGCTAATTTGCGACGGAATTTGCCACGAAAAAAACTTCGTGGCTAATTTGCGACAGAATTAGCGACGAATTTTTTTTCCGTTGCTAATTTGCAACAAAAAAAAATGTCGTCACTAATTTGCGACGGAATTTGCCACGAAAAAAAATTCGTCGCTAAAATTTTTTTTCCGTTGCTAATTTGCGACGGAAAAAAATGTCGTCGCCAATTTGCGACGGAATTTGCCACGAAAAAAAATTCGTTGCTAAATTGCGACGGAATTTGCCACGAAAAAAATCCGTCGCTAATTTGCAACGGAATTTGCGACGAAAAAGTATTTGTTGCTAATTTGCGACGGAGTTAGCGACTTATTTTTTTTCGTCGCTAATTTTGCGACGTAATTTGCAACGAAAAATAAATTCGTCGCTAATATATGTATTGCGTGTCAAATATTTACTAATATATAAATGTAAATTGTTAATAGGATTTTTCAAACTTCAATGTATGGACTACCGCCAAATGAGTTTGACCGTTTGTGATATGAACAATTTGCAGCATGGTTCAAAACATATGTAAGTTACCTATGAATCAAAACCAAGTTATTAATATTTTATACATCATTTAAATATATATTATTGACTTTGCGTGTGTGACCTTAGGTTCACAGTAATCATGATCAAGTTGAAGAGCAATGATTGCTATATTATCTGTCATGGGGTCCAAAGTCAAGAGTATGAACTTGGCCAGCATATTTCATAAACGGGTATAATTTTCACACTCAAGAATATGGAATGGGAAAAGCCACAATGAATAGTGGTGTGTGTGTTCGGTCATCCAATGGTGGCAGTTCAAAAGATGATTTTTATGGCTTGTTGGATGAAATCATGGAGATAGAGTACCCCGGACCATTAATGCGGGTTGTGTTATTTAAGTACATGTGATTCGACCCCGTCAAAGGAATGCAGGTGCATACGAAATTTAATTTGGTTGAAATAAATCACAAGAAAAGGTATATGAAATATGAATCATTTGTGTTGGCACAACAAGCAATTCAAGTATATTATACATCATATCCTAGTTTGAAACGTGACAAAGATGATTGATTGGCTGTATGTAAAACCAAAGCACGAAGAAAAATCGAGGAACATCGGAAGGATACAGCATATCAACAAGAGAAAGTTTGTAACACGGTTCAAACTGAGGAATATAACATTCCAACTCTACGAGATCCATGTGGAGCAATGATAGATGTAGATCTAACTGAAATTCGCGAATCAAATTTAGAAGGTGTTGCAGAATCTGATTTTGAGACATAGGATGATGAGGATGATGATGATGATGATGATGACAACGATGATGCTCAAGAAGAAGATCAAGATCAAGATGAGGACGAAGGTGAAGATGAAGATTTAGATTTTTGAGACTTTTTACTAATTATGTCGTAATTATTATTATTATTATTATGACAAGAGTTTATTGTTGTTGTCATATTTATTATTATTGTTGTTGTCGTAATTATTAGTATTGTTATTGTTGTTGTTGTTATTATTAGGGTTAATACCACGAAAAACCCTAAACTGGTACACTAGTGACAATTTTATCCCAAACTATTTTTTTGACAATAAAAAATCCCAAACTGGTACACTTGTGACAAATCTACCCTGAACTATTTTTTTGACCACAAAAAACCCCAAACTGGTATACATGTGACAATTTTACCCCGAACTAATTTTTTAATAATATTTTTTATTTTTCGAATTTTTTTTATTAATTTTTTATTTTTTCTTTACTTTTTTTTTTTCCTTTCTCTTCAACCTCTGGCCGGTCGCCGGTCCGGCAACCGGCCAGAGTCGACCTCGCCGGCGTTGGGCGAGGTTGGCCTCGCCTTGCAACGGCGAGGTCGAGCCTCGCCAGATCTGGTGGGGGCCCGACCCCGCCGGCCTCTGGCGAGGCACGACCTCGCCGGCGTTGGGCGAGGTCAGCCTTGCCAGCATTGGGTGAGGTCGGCCCCGCCGTTGCAGGGCGAGGCCGACCTCGCCCAACGCCGACGAGGCCGACCTCGCCCAACGCCGACGAGGCCGAGCCTCGGCAGCTGCCGGCGGGGCCGACCTCGCCGGCTTCCGCCTCTGGCCGGTCGCCTGACCGGATCGGCCAGAGGTTGAAGAGAAAGGAAAAAAAAAAGTAAAGAAAAAATAAAAAAATTCGAAAAATAAAAATAATATTAAAAAATTAGTTCGGGGTAAAATTGTCCTATGTATATCAGTTTAGAGTTTTTGGTGGTCAAAAAAATAGTTCGGGGTAGATTTGTCACAAGTGTACCAGTTTTGGGTTTTTTATAGTCATAAAAATAGTTTTGGGTAAAATTGTCACAAATGTACAGGTTTAGGGTTTTTCGTGGTATTAACCATTATTATTATTATTATTATTATTATTGTTGTTGTTGTTGTTGTTATTGTTGTTGTTGATTATTATTATTGCTATTATTGTTACTGAAACGTTATTGTCGGGAAAAAAAATGAATTAGGCGTGTGTGGGCTAGTAGAAATGAAATTCGTGGCTATATCCGTGGCAAATTTGCCACGAATTTAGCCACGAATTTCATTATAGGCTGGTGGAGAAATTCGTGGCAAAATCCGTGGCAAATTTGCCACAGATTTAGCCACGAATTTGAAAAAAATACCCACACATGCCTAATTCATTTTTTTTAAATTCGTGGCTAAATCCGTGGCAAATTTGTCACGGATTTTACCACGAATTTAAAAAAAATGCCCATACATGCCTAAGTCATTTTTTTTTAAAATTCGTGGCTAAATTCGTGGCAAATTTGCCACGGATTTAGCCACGAATTTTACAAAAATGCCCACACACACCTAATTCATTTTTTTTAAATTCGTGGCTAAATCCGTGGTATTACCACGGATTTAGCCACGAATTTCATAAATAGGCTAGTAGAAATCAAATTCGTGGCTAAATCCGTGGCAAATTTGCCACGGATTTAGCCACGAATTTGAAAAAAAATGCCCACACACGCCTAATTCATTTTTTTTCAAATTCGTGGCTAAATCCGTGGCAAATTTGCCACGGATTTAGCCACGAATTTCAAAAAAATGCCCACACACACCTAATTCATTTTTTTGAAATTCGTGGCTAAATCCGTAGCAAATTTGCCACGGATTTAGCCACAAATTTCATAAATAGGCTAGTAGAAATTAAATTCGTGGCTAAATCCGTGGCAAATTTGCCATGGATTTAGTCACGGATTTCATAAAAATGCTCACACACGCCATTCCTCAATTTTTTTTAAAATTCGTGATTAAATTCGTGGTAAATTAAATTCGTGACTAAATTCGTAATAAATTTGTCATGAATTTAACCACGAATTTAATTTCCTCCCCGCCCTCTCTCAAATTTGCCCGCCCTCACCCCAATTTCTCTCTCTCTCTCTCTCTTATTCCTCAGATCCCCCCTTCCGCCAAACACCTCTGTCGCTCCCTCCTCCCCTCCACCAGCCATGATGGCCACTAGGGGTGTCAATGGGTCGGGTCGGGCTTTCCTGATACCCGACCCGACCCGAAACGTAGAGGGTCGCGCTTGACCCGCCCCGCCCCTACCCAAGACCCTATTTAGCATTTAGCTTAGGAGATGGGTCGGGTAGGGTCGGGTCAGTGCTGGTGCCACAACGCCAAAACATCCTCCCGCTCAGTCTTTGTCCGGCGCCGACATCCCTTTCTCTCGCTTGAAGGGTCTATGGACGGGGCGGCTCCTCCGCCTCGCGTCGCCGTTTCCAGCAGCTCCCAACTTCCGGGAGGGCATGAAATGGACGGTGGTCAGCTGAGTCCCCGTCGCCGGCTCCCCCTCCTTCAACCCCCGGCGCTACAGCGGTGATTGGACCAAGATCTACCTCGTCATGGAGCTCGCTAGCCGCGGCGAGCTCTTCTCCACCGCGACATCAAGCCATAGAACCTACTTCCAGATGCTGCAGGCGCGCTCAAGGTCTCTGACTTCGGCCTCTCGGCACTTCTTGAGCAGCTCCGTGACGGGCTCCTCCACACGGCCTGCGGGACCCCAGCCGACACCGCCCTGGAGGTGGTTTGCCGCCGCGGCCACAATGACTCCAAGGCCGACGCCTGGTCCTGCGGCGCCATCCTCTTCGTCCTCCTCGCCGGTTTCATGCCGTTTGACATATCACAACCTCGTCTAGATCTAGGGTTAGAGAGGGAGAAGGAGAGAGAGAGGGAGTGGGGTTTGGTGGTTCTGCAACTTCTGTCTAGATCTAGGGTTTGTACGTAGAGAGAGAGAGAGGAGAGAGAAAAGGGAGAGAAAGGGATTTTTACGTGGAGAGAGAGAGGAGAGAGAAAAAGGAGAAAACGGGGTTCTGAAGGGTCAATGGGTCGGGCTTGATCCTACCCTAATTTTAATAATACCCGTATCTAAAAGCCCTACCCTATAAAAGCTGAGGCCCAACCCCAAAATACCCCAAATTTTAGGGTCGAGCCGGGCCGGCTCGGGTCTTTTTGACACTCCTAATGGCCACCCTCACCGCCACCGCCGCCGTCGCCTCCTCCTCCGTCGCCATCCGCCCGTTCCGCTCCCACAAGCCCTCCCGCGCGCCCGCCGGGGTCCGGTGCTCCGTCGCCGAGGGCCCCGCGATCTCCCAGCCGAGGGCCGCCGGCGGGGGACTGGTTGATTGCGTGGTGGTCGGGGGCGGGATCAGCGGGCTCTGCATCGCCCAGGCGCTCGCCACGAAGCACCGCGACAGGGCCCCCGACGTGGTCGTCACCGAGGCCACGGACCGCGTCGGCGGCAACATCACCACCGTCGAGAGGGACGGCTACCTGTGGGAGGAGGGCCTCAATAGTTTCCAGCCATTCCGAGGTTTGTACGTTCCCATTCCGAGGTTTTTCACTTGGGAATGTTGTTTGAAGAATTTGAAGCGATATTTGGGGAGCCCAAGGTGGAATGGTCGAGCGGAGGAGGTCATCCGCTGCGGCGGTTGTTGTATTATGTCCACGCTCCGGACCCTTCTCACCTCAGGATCCACGTCACGGATTTCCACTCCAACACTTGGGAGGCCATTCGCTCTGTTCATCAGCTCGAGGACATGGTCTGTCTTCTTGCCTTTTGATTCCCCTTTTTGTTTCATTTTATTTGGTTCTGTTCCTATTGGTACAGATTTCATTTTAAGGACTTTAGCTGTGGTGGGTGTTTTGTGAACGGGAAGGAGGGAAAGAGTCGATTTCGAAATTTTCTCGTTTGTTGGGTTGTGCTTAGTTTGATTGATCAATGAATGTAGTATGCTTTTATTATAAAATTAGTGAGACCAACATATAAATCTATGGGGGCACAAATCTTCTTCCTTTTTTGTATAAACCCTCTTTGGGAATCAAATAGTTATTTTGAGTGAGTAAATTGTTGGGAATGCATTCGTCTTATGGCTGGTTCCAATCTCCAGATCTCTGAGTTAAGTGGGGATGTAAAAGAAGCAAAAAAAAAAAAAAACAAGCAGAGATGAATAAAGGAGAAAATAAAATACAACTAGATCTAGTATGAGGTCGGCAATTAGAGCAAAAGAGATAGGATTTGTAGTTGGGTCTTTGAAAAGATAAGCAACTTTTACTTGGCCTTTATCCTTTATGTCAGGTTCACTAGAATATATATTAGCTTGGAACTTCCGGTTATCTCAGTATGAATTAGACATCTTTAGCTCCGTGTCAACAATTCCTGTTTTTCTCCACAAGGGATTGTGAGTACGTGATGTCCTTCAATGGTATCGCAGGTCTCTTTACTAGTTTGTATTTGTGGTGCACAATTTTGTGGAATGTAGGTAGTGGCTATGATTGATTTGATAGAAAAGAAGGTATAGTATGTGTTCTTGCTGGAAATTTCCTGGAAAAAATGGTTGCATTCTCCCTATGATTTCCTTTCTCTTGTCCTGGCATTGGATGTAAAATTCTTAGGTCCTTAAATCTCCTTGTTTGAAGATTTAATAGCTGGATCCACAGTCATTTCTAATTTGTTTAGGGTTCTTTCTTGTCCCTGAGCCTGATGTTTCTCAACTAGTCATTGGTGGATATATTGAGGTCACAATAACAACTTGAGCTGATGAAAAATGTCAATATCTACTAACATTCAGAGCCTAACTAGTGATAATTGTTTTTTACAAAACCGAACTAGCTGGCCCACTTACTCCGGGAACAGTGGTGTTACTGTTTGATCAAGGTCATTGTCAGTGTCATTCTCATCAAAAGTCTCTATGAGCTCTACGAAGAGAAAAATGAGTATATTGTTGTATTTTGAGACAACTGGTGAGAAACTATTTAGAACCTTAATGATTCTCATAACTACTATTCGACAGTTCGATTAGTTAAATACTTCCATCTTTCATATAGCTGTGAGGTAGTCATACTATACCTTTTGAAATGCAAGTGCAGAGGGACAACATTGGGATTGGTGGCTCTTGGTCTGAGTTCATTGACTATTTCGTGGCTCCAATAAAGTCTGAAGATGTAAAAGTTGTTCTGCATGGACAATCGGACTCAGGTGGTGAGTCTCGTTTGTTCTTTGCTCTTTTGTTGCCTTTACTAATTTATGCTCCTTATGTTATTACCTCTACCTAGTTATGTTCATCTGAGATTGCCGCTTTGATCTGTTTATTCGTGATATTTGGCAACTTGTAGAGGTGAAGTTTCTTCATGTGGCTTGAATTTGGATGTCATGTCATTTTCTGGAAAATATATATTTTTAGCTTCAAGGAATGTCCTAATGTGAAAAAGATCCTTTTCTCCTAGCAAGAGACTTGCAATTCTTAAAGTTTTAGAGTCTCATCCTTCACTGCAAAAGATCCTTTTCTCCGAGCAAGAGACTTGCCATTGTTGAAGTCTTAGATTCCCGGCCTTCACTGCAGTTATATCACGATGACGTTGCAGAAAAAGTGGCCACTAAAAGGTTGCAGTTGGGTGAGGGAAATCAAAGACTTCTTGAGTCACTCTGAGTTTCTTTTTCATGTAACTGCCTCAGGAATATTGCACAAGATATCTTTGACTATTCTTAATGAAATTGTAGATGGAGACTAATTTGCCGTCAATATCTTTTCAGTTGACTATGGGACTTTTTCTGTGTATTTGATTAAGACAAGCTTTACTGGACCTCTAAACGAAAGGTTTCTCAACTGTGATGAAATTGGTGCCTGATTGATGAGAAAGGTAACTTAATCTTGGATATCCACGGTTGAAATACCTTGTTGGTCAGAGTCACTAATGGTGATTCTGAAGATTTGAACCTGGTCTAATAACATATTCTCATCTTGTTGATGTATCTCTACAAAGAATAAATGTGTAGTTTGGTCAGTAAAAGTAGGACATTTGCTTCTTCCTTCATTATATTATTATGGTGTCTTTATGTGTTAAAATTTTGGAACTTGCTTAAAACTGTAGATGATATGCCAGTAGATAAACTTGAATCTTCTGATATGCGGCTGCTCGAAGCTGGTTGTAAAAAAGTTAGACTTGTAGTCAGGAGACTGGGAATTGTCATTATGTACCACGAAATAATGTAGCATTTAGGGTGTATCCTGCCCTATTCGACCGAACAACTTACTTTGGCTGTTTCACCCTATTTGCTGGTAAACTCAACTGCATTACTGTTGGAGTTGTCATCAAGATCTTTAGACACCCTAACAGATAACAACAGAAATTGAGAGACAACCAGTATCTTTCAGTTATTTTGTTTAGTAATTGTTGAGTCTATACTTATAGTTGCTCTGATCTGCTACTTCCTTGAGTATCATTTGACAGAGAAGCTGCAAAATAAGTTGACGTAGATGGGAGGCATCTTTTGAAAATTTTATGAGATTTCAGATCATCTGCTTTTGTTCTTGCAGGGGCTACATCTGCAAAGTTAGTTGCTCAGAAAGCCAAAGGAATGCCATTGATATTTGTTACTCTTGTAAAACTTGTGGATTTTGCTGCAAGGGAGGTGATGGGCAACCTGTCAATGCAGCTATTCATGGCATTCAAGAACACTCAGACTTCACTTGCATTCCTTGATAGGCGAGTGATCTTTACACTGTTGACCTTATTGTATGTTTTGCTATCAGTGAACCTATAAAAACTGGTAATGGACCATCCTCTACTGAAAATTGTAGATGAGGGTCGAGATCATATCTCCTTTGGTGCCCTGAACCAATGTAATGAAATGTATGAAGTGATATTAAATTGCCAATCCAGCATTCTTATCACTGATGCAATTGCTGGATTCCAGAAAATGCTCTGCATTGATCCTAGAAGAAGCAAGATGCTCTGCAAGAACTTCACGATCTTATTACCTCGAAGAGATCCCGAGCATGGCAAAATACCCTTGAGAGGATTATGTTCAAGTACATTGAGCTATGTGTTGATATGCGGAGGGGGAGATTTGCCAAGGATGTTCAAGTACATGGAAAATGTAGATGAATGTATTTCATTTTCATATTATTATAATAGTTTGATCACATTGAGCTATATGTTCAAGTACATGGAAAATGTAGATGAATGTATTTCATTTTCATATTATTATAATATTTTGATGTTATTAAGTGCTTAATCAATGTTAAATACAAATTCTAGAAATTAATTTTGCTTTAAATTACATTTAAAATCAAAAAAGAAAATGAAATACATTCATTTTGGTGGGTAATTTAAATTACCCACGAATTTTGCCACGAATAAGTTCGTCGCAAAAAACTGACCAAAAAAAAATTTGGTGGCAAATTAGCCACGAATTTTGCCACGAAATGTGTTCGTCGCAAATTAGCAATAAATTTTGCCACGAATAATTAGCAACGACTTTTGCCACGAAAATATTTCGTCGCAATTTCGCGACCAACAAAATTTTTTTAAAAAAAAAATAGCGACGAATTTTGCCACGATTACAGTTCGTAGTAAATTAGCGACGAATTTTGCCACGAATATTTAGCGACGAATTTTGTCACAAATAAAGTTCGTGGCAAATTAGCGACGAATTTTGCCACGAATACAATTCGTAGCAAATTAGCGACGAATTTTGCCACGAATACAGTTCGTGGCAAATTAGTCACGAATTTTGCCACGAATAATTAGCGATGAATTTTGCGACGAATTTTGTTTCGTGGCAAATTAGCCACGAATTTTGCCACGAATAATTGGCGACGAATTTTGCGACGAATTTTTTTTCGTTGCAAATTAGCGACGAAAATTGAAATTTTCCGTCGCAAAATTTTGCGACGCCCTATTAGCGACGAATTTTTTTCCGTCGCTAATTTCGTCGCAAATTCGTTTAGCGACGAATTTTGCCAAATTTTTCGCGGCAAAATTCGTGGCTAAAACCAACTTTTTTTGTAGTGCACTCTATTGAGGCATCGAGAGTTGGAGGTTCATTACATGACACAGGGTACACAAATTTAAAAAATTCCTTGAGGACATGAGAACGAGGTGGAATTCAAAGTGCAAGTTGTTCAAGAAGATATGCGAGGAGACGGTCTACTAACGCTCTACTCCACCACTCATCATGGATGTTCCGATCTCTTGTCGTTGACACCCCAATATCGGAGGATCGCTGAAGATTTTAAGAACTTATCATAGGTTTTCAGTGCTACGAAGGATGCTTTGAGCACAGGCAATTATCTATCAAGCAACGAGCCATTCCGTTTCTTTTCATGATGTTGGTTGAATTGGCGAACAAGGAGAGTGATCCTTTCTTCAATGAAGTAGTAATCGCCACAGAGACAAAATTCCTAAAATATTCCAATGACATTTAGCCTGCTTTTTTTTTTCCATCTAATGTCTCCAATCCGATATTCAATTTAGAAGGACTCAAAACTCTCCTTGTTCCATGTTATCAAGGGTGATAACATCTAACTGAAACAAATATTGGCAATGGCGATGAGTTGGCACTAGAACATAAATGTTGCATACACCAATCATTTCTATATGACGAGCTCCACTCAAAGGACGGAAATGGCACCATCACCAAGCAATGCCCAAACACTTGTATGGTCTCATCTTCAGAAGAAGAACATCCCATAGCCTTTCACTTGGTCTTCGCCTTCATCTGCCACATAGTTGGAGAAGTACTTAGGATCATATTACTCCAAATTCATTCATAGAGTTGGCGAAGACAAAGTCAACGTCTTGAATGGTGAAAGAGGAGAGCCACCAACCTTTTGATTCTTTCGACCGTGGCTCATGACATACTGACCCCATCGGCATCTACGGTACCATCAAAGCCCATGTTAGTACTAGCCAACGGATCTTAGACGACAATAGGTATAACTTGTTTGCGAAAAGTTGAGAACTGGCAATCGGAAGGCATGATAGGTTATTGCAACAATTGACTCCATAAGAAAGGGCCATGATCAAGAGTACAACACGAAACTATATCATCCAAATCACGATGAAGGATACGGAACCGAACAAATCAAATATTTTATTAGGCATTCTCTTTGGGTGTAATTTGTGCGTAATTATTATTAGGGCACCTCTTCGTAAATTTTTGGGATAATGACATAAACATTCCCTTAACTTCGGCTCAATATGCAATTTGGTCCTTGAATTTTTAATTTGTTCAATGTAGCCCCCGAACTTTAACACAATGTTCAATGTGATCCCTAAACTTTTAATTTTTTCAATGTGGTCCTTGAACTTTTGGTACATGTTTAATTTAGTCCCTAAACTATATAAAAATGTACAATATAGTCCCTGAATTTAAATTAATGAAAAGACTACATTGAACATTTTTATAAAGTTCAGGGACTATATTGAACATGTACCAAAAGTTCAAGGAACACATTAAACAAATTGAAAGTTTAGGTACCACATTAAACATTGGGTTAAACTTCAGGGACTACATTGAATAAATTAAAAGTTCTGGGACTAAATTGCATATTAAGTTAAAGTTCAGGGACTGTTTGCGTCATTTTTCCTAAAAAAAATTTCAAATTATTTGGAGATATACTTGAACTTAAATTTGGTTCAATTGAACGAGTACTTTCATTAGTATTCCTCAATTAAGTTGTTACTATATCTAATATTTGGAAATAGAATTAGTTCAATCTTTTCTTTTTTATTTCGTTTTGGTGAAAAACGGGGCCCGGGCCAACCGTGCACAAGCCCCTGCGTCCATCATCCCTGCCAAATCTCTCTCTGTTCGATCATCCCATCCATCATTCCTGTCAAATCTCTCTCTCTCTCTCTCTCTCTCTCTCTCTCTCTCTTTCAATCTCTCCATGTTCATCCGATCTTCATTGATTTAGTCCAAATATTCTTGGCACAAATGCAACCATGTGAACGTGGGTCTCCGCACACGCCTTACACGGTTGCGTTTCCTCGCTGCCAGGAATATGTTCCCTCTTTCCTAGGAAAGACCTCAACAGTGTCAAGACACGTAAAAAATCTTCAGATTCCAGGAAAGCGCATCGTGCCCTTTCGCTCTCCTAGGAATTTCATCAAACATGGAAACCGCCCTTCGTGCCGCGGAACTTTCCCAATCTGGCAAAAAGGAAGCTTTCTCCTTAAAGGCAAAATGCAACACCAGCACGAGGAATCGAGATTCGATCGTGGGATGATTTTGGCCTGAACAGCATCAGTCTGAAGGGGAGATGTAGGTGGAGAGATATAACCCATCTTTAGTAAGACACGAGCACGGGGCGCTGTTGGGCTTGTCGCGCACTGTCGAGATGGCAATATCTGACAGACCGACGTGACAAGCTCACCGAACCCGGATGATATCGTGACGTGTCATTGTGGAGACTCATCCATTTATTGAGTAGCCGACACGGACTAATATGCTTTGTTCGGTACTTTTCTTTTAGTAGCCCGTATTAGCACTTGAGCAAATAAAGAAGAATAACTATTTCTCGAGAGATCAAAACATATATACACTTGATTTGCACGCCAGGATGACCTAATTCAATATTGGGTTATAGCATCTCTAGGATGTGATCTGAAAAGACCTTCTCCTCTTACATAGCTTGAATATGAAGCCTGAGAAGGCCCTAAATACAACGCCCTTGTTCACCAAATAATAAATGGGTTAATTTCAAAAAAAGAGTCCAATTTTCTCTCATAAAAAATCATTAATTTTCACTTAAATCTCAAATCCGGCCTCCTTGATGTGAAATTTTCAAATTGTTCGAGTCAGATTTGAAACTTGAGTGAAAGTTGGTGTTTTTATTGAGACAAAAAAAAGTTCAAGGTCAGAATTGTCACTCAAGGTAAAGTTAATGTTTTTTTTTAGAATTAGGAATTTAAATTGGATTGATCGCAATTATTCCTTTAAGATAGTGTTAAGAAACTCATTTCATATATTTTTTTTTCTTTTTCACAATTAATTGCAATTCTTCATGTGGATTTTCAATGGTCCCACTCCCCTCTTCAACTTATTTAAGATTTGAAGGAAAATTTTGTAATCTGCACACATAAACCCCTTCTATAGAATTATTGAAACTTATGCATATCACTCTTCATTCCATTGGTATTATAATTCACTCTCTAGAAATGTCCGATTTGATTCCTAATGTTTCGACTCCTGTTAATGGAGCAACCAGAACACGGGCACGGCACGTTCGAACGAAGATCGATTCCAAGCATGTATATATGGCAAAGACAAAAAGAGGAACAACACCATGTTGATATGTCTAACTAGAGTTTGGGAGACAAAGGAAAACAAAATTGATTCAAAGAGCCCCAAAATGCTTGTAGGTTTCCTTTTTCGTCTCCCGAGGGTACTCATGCACTTGGTCTCTGTTTTGTGCTGCGATGGGAATATATGGAAATTTGGTGCGACGTATAATTTGTGCTTCGATTGAACACACTTTGCCACTTGCTTTCCTCCTATTTGCCCCCTCCTCACTTTTCCTTCACCCAACAAAAGAAAGAAGCAGCAGCACGGGAGCATTTATCCAAAGCACAGAACTTCATGTGATTGAAATAAGGCTAGAAATCAAATATATGAACATGGCATAAGTTCATGTTATGTAAAAGAGGAGCAATTGTGTCGTGCCGTGTCTTTACTAGAATAAATTTCATTCTGGTCGATATCATGAGAAATTTGTTATGTAAAAGAGGAGCAATTGTGTTGAGTCCACTAATTTCAAGTTAGATGTGATATATTCGCATTGCCTATCGGTCTCGGTAAATTTTTGAAGGCATCGTGTTCCTAAATGCACTTTTAATGTACTACAAATGAGCACTCACATGTGATTCAAGCAAGAGGCAAAATTGCTCCTTTCTAGAAAAAGTGTTTAAGATGGCCTTAAGATCTGTTGATTATTGCCCCCGAGATATTAGCCTGCCAAAACTTCCATGCTGAGAGGCATGGCCTTAAGATGGACAATATTTTTCCCCATCTTTTTAATACTATTGATGATAAAATCACTACACAATTTATGAGATTTTAATATTTTTGGGGTGTGTTTGTTTGAGGGAAAGTGTTTTCCGGGAATTTATTTTTCGGACTTTCACCCGTTTGGTTCGCCAAAAATGATTAGTCAACTGAAAACACTTTCCGGTTAAGGAAAACATTCATATATAAAATTAAGAAAGTGAATTCCCTAATTTAAAAATGTGAAAACTTTTTCCAGAATTTCTTATTTTGAATTTGTTAATATTATTTTTTTCTTTTCTTTCTTTTTTTTAATTTTTAATTTTTAATTTTTAATTTTCTTTCTTTTTTTCTTTTTTTCTTTTTCCTCTCTTTGCCGGTCGCCGGCCGGCAAGGGCTGCCTCAGGCAAGGCCAAGGCTCACTGGGATCTGAGGTCGAGCTCACCAGATCCCGACGAGACTCGACGAGCTCGACTCTCTCTAGAATTTGGCAAGGCTCGAGCTCACCATCCTCGCCCGAGGTTGGCTAGGTCAGCTCTCATCGGCTGTTGCCGAGGCTCGACGACCAGTAGAGGGAGGAAGAAGAAAAAAGAAAACGATAAAAAGATAAATTAAAAATTAGTTAAAAATTTGATTTTTTTTGCCTAAGATAAAGTTATGAGATTGAAATCATTTTCTAAATGATATCCAAACACCATAAAAAATTTTCGATCAAAATCACCAAACAAAGGAAAATTAACCATTTTCTTGGAAAATGAATTCTCGGAATAACATTTTTCATAAAATCATTTTGCAAAAACGTTATGTTTTCCGTGAAACAAACACACCCTTGAGATATATTATTTGTATATTGTTGCCCTTCTTTTAGATAGCTTAAGATTCCAGGGGAAGAACAATATACTCAATTTAAGTTTGTATCTTTATTGTTGATTGTTATATTTTACCTATAGCTTTACATTGGCAAATTTGATGAGGTTATACAACATCCCGATCCGTTCTACATGGGCTTAACTCCCACAAGTATTTCGAGGAATCATACAAGGTGGTGATCAATAACGAATCACTTAAGGGAACATTCCATAAAAAAGGATATTTGCTCAAAACCCCCAAAACTTTGGTACAGTTGCATTATAGCCCCCGAATTTGGAAAGTTATTGGTTATTCACCTAAACTTGGGCACAGTTGCGCAATAGCCTCGAACTTCAAAAAGTTACGTATTACTGTCTTGAACTTTACTTTATCAATCACGCATCCTCTCTATTATCTTAACTTCATTAACCATTTACAAGGGATATTTGGGTGAGAAACCGGGTAAGTCCATTTTCAAATAACACTTAATGGCCATATAGATGGAAAATTAGTGATTCTACAAAAAGTATCAAAAAAGTTTGGAGGCTATGGTGCAATTGTGCCAAAGTTCGAGGGGTTATTTATGACTTTTCATAGCTCGAGGACAATTGCACGCATGCCAAATTTCAAGGGGTTTCGATTATTTAAAAGAAAAACCATACATGTTGAACACATTTTTTCCATGGCCAACGAACATAGTATACATCTGAAGCACTTTTTAAGGTCTATCATTGGCTGGTCTTGTTACTTCGGGCAAAGTATCAAAAAGGTCATAAACCTTTGGCATTGATGCCAATTTAGTCCTAAACCTTTTTTTTGCGCCAATTCAGTCCTAAACCTTTTGTATTTGTACCAATTTAGTCCTAAACCTTTTCTATTTGTACTAATTCAGTCATTCCAGCCAATTTTGGCTGGATTTTGCTGACGTGGACGTCGGCCGGCCAGCAGCCAGTCACTGGCGCTAATGTGGACAATTTTTAATAATATTTTAATATTTTTTTGAATTTTTATTTTTTTCCCTCCCCTCCCTCCTTCCTCCAGCAGGTCGCCAGACCGGTGGCCAGCCAGAGGCCGGTGAGGTCGGGCCTCGCCCAGCCGCTGGCGAGGCTTGAGCCTCTCCCGCCCAGCGCAAGGCCGCCCTCGTGGCCATCCGGCGAGGGTGAGCCTCGCCAGTGGCCTGCGAGGTCTGGCCTCTGGCCGGTCCGGCGACCGGCTAGAGGAAGGAGGGAGGGGAGGAAAAAAAATTCAAAAAATATTAAAATATTATTAAAAGTTGTCCACGTCAGCGCCGATGGTCGGTCGGCGTCCACGTCAGCAAAATCCAGTCAAAATTGGCTAGAAGGACTGAATTGGCACAAAGACAAAAGGTTTATGATTAAATTGGCACAAATGCAAAAGATTTATGACTGAATTAGCACCGAAAAAAAGGTTTAGGACTAAATTAGTACTAAAAAAAGGTTTAAGACTAAATTGGCACAAATGTAAAAGGTTTAGGACTTTTTTGATACTTTTCTCCTTTACTTCCATGTAGCCCGAATACAGAACTTGCCGTATCCGAGTCAATCATCTAATAATTATGATTAATTGGCCCGTGCCGTCTTTTTTGTAGCTATTGAGAGAGAGATAGAGAGAGAGAGATGGGCGGAAACTTGGCAATAGAAAAAAATCTGAAAGTCAGCTAGGATCAGGGGTGGGAAAAAGTCAGCTAGGAATTGGGTCGAAAGGCTCGTTCAACCCAATAACGAATCCGAAAGTCGGCTAGGAAATGAGGGGAAAGCTTGGCAATGAAAGGGATCCGAAAGTCGGCTAGGAATTGGGGCGGTGGTGCAAGGCTCGGTCAACCCAGTTTCTGTCCAAGAGCTGAGCGCTGCGATGGGCCGGGTCACGTCACCGACTGGCGACACACGTGTCCGACAGCCCTCCTCAACTCGCTCGCCACATCAGCAGGGAACCAAGGTGTGGCCCACCTTCGCTTTCGGGGCTGACTCAACCCCCCGAGTGCCCAGGCGACAGCCCCGTACGGACACCGAACCCCCCCGCCTAAAACGCTGTATATATTTCTGTGCAAAACCAACAGACTTTTGACACCCATGCCTTCCTCTTCCTCAGCTAGCTAAAATTAACTTGCTCTCTCTCTCTCTCTCCTCTTTCTCTCCCTCTCACACATACACACATACAGAGACGCATACACTTTGTTCAGATCGTCTTCGATGGAGCTTTCTCCTTTATTAATGGGGTTCAGTGAGCACCGTCTGGAGCCCACGAAAGGTGGTGATCATGAGGAGCATGTGATCGCGTATTCTTCTTCTTCTTCTTCTTCTTCTTTTTCTTCTTTCAGTGCCATTTGAAGAAAGGGTCAGTTCACCGAAATCTTGCAAGTTTCTTCATTGGGTTCTTTAATCATCTGCCGATATCCGAGGATAGGATGCTGGAGGACGTGCTGCATCCGCCTCAACAGCTTCCAACTGTAAAATTATTCTTTTTCAATCCGAAACCGTCTCTGTTCCTTATTCTTTTCTGTACATACACACGATGCATGTGCGCATTGCGTTTCATTAATCATGCAATTTTCTCTGCAAAAGAAAGAGGCAGGATTTTGATTGCAAGGCATGAAGCTTTCTTCCGTTGTTCTGTTCTCTTTTCGGACATGAGTTCTGGGTTCTTTTTTCAGTCTTTGTTCAACAAATTACTGTTGTTCAGACACGGAGTTGCATCTGTTGTTCTGCAGGATGATATGTCGAGCCCGTTAAGTGCTCAACTGTTAGAACTTTGCGACCCCGAATTATTTTCGGAAAGTATACAGAACTCTGAGATCACCTCGTGTTCAAACTGCTGCTACGAAGATTGCCCTGATTCCTCCAAATTTTCTTTACCTGAAGATTCGCAAAACTTTGGCGATCTCCTGCAGGAAGACTATGGAATCAATACTAACACCATGGCCACGACTCCAACCATGACCACAAGTAACACCACGACTGCCACCACTACTTACTATAATGGAAATCAAACAGCAATCTTTGATCCGCAAGAAGATGTCGATAATGACATTTCTGCTTCGATTGATTTCTCTCCCTCCCCTCCGTTTTCGGTTTCCCCATTCGTCTGTCCTCAACAAGACCACCTGATGATGGATTTCCCTTCAGTGCAGCTAACAGATAACCAACTTCCACTGACCAATAGCACTGATAGGCTACCGAATTTTACTTGCGAAACTATGTCGCCGTTAATTGGCCCTCCATTGATTGCCTCAGTGTTCAAACATGATTGCTTGTCCTCTGTGCCTCCATATATTCCTTTGGACCCCGCGTCGCCTTGGTGCTCCTTCATTGGCCCAATGACGTACATGCCAGGGAATATAACTGGCACATTATCTGCAGATAGCTCGGGGATCTTCTCGGGAAGTGTTCTGATAAAAGCAGATTTGCAAGCTCGAGATTTGGATTACCAGGCTGACAATAACGGTGGAATCTTTTGCTCAGATCCGACACAGGTGCTTATTCCTGAGGACATGCAGGTATTGACAAGATTTTACAGCACATTATACTTCATTTTGAATATGAAGTTTTAAAGTTTAATGCAGTTGGTACGCTCATGGCATTAGATCTCATGTGCTCTTGTAGCATTCGTGGTGGATTAGAACAAATTCTCATGGCTTCGTGTCGATTTGATACCATGTAAGGCATTTTGTGCTGAGAGCCAAAAGCTGATGAATGGGAATTCGAGTTCTGCACCTTTCACAACAGATATTTCAAACTTAGAAGACTCAACTTACACAGTAAGAAAGCTCTCGGTTGAGCAGAGGAAGGAGAAGATCCATCGGTACATGAAGAAGAGGAACGAAAGGAACTTCAGCAAGAAGATTAAGGTCTTCATTCTCGTCTTCTCTCGCATTATTCATGCATTAGTTTACCTTTTGTAGGAGATTAACTTTAGCTGAAGAAACTTTCCTAATATCTGCAGTATGCATGCCGCAAAACTTTGGCAGACAGCCGGCCACGAGTGAGAGGGAGATTCGCAAAGAACGAGGAATTCGGGGAGAACTCTAGGCTTGCTTGTGGTCATCTTGAGGATGATGAAAAGGATGAAGTGAGAATAATTTTCCTGGCAATCTGTGGTTCTAAAGAAACTTCCCAAGATCAAGCGATGCCTTGCGAATTGTGATATCTTTGAGGAAGACTAGAACAAATAAATAATCATCACAAACCTGATAAATATCCGGTCCTGATCATATCCCATTCGTAATATATATGTAACACCACCTTGGCTTTTGTTTCAGGTGTTTGTGAAAGAAGATGACATGATGGATTCATCTGATATCTTTGCTCATATCGGCGGAGTCAATTCCTTCAACTGCTCAATCCAATCTTGGATTTGAATGGCCAGATCTTACAGACCCTAGCAATTCCATTACTCAGTTTTGCAGGACTCGGTGAAGCCCGGGTCTCTGTTTCTGCAGACCGGTCGACTTACAAGAATTAGTGGATTAATACATGAGTCAGGATTAATTAGTATGACAATAAGAATTAATGTACTTTTGTATATAAGATCTGTATGTTATAAAGAGTATCAATTGGACTCTGTAGACCTGAAACTGGGATGGACACGATCACCAATTGGATGATGAAGAAACACAGATGATGTAATTATATTGAAAATATATGTAGATACATAACACTATATTCACGGTTACATGCATACAAAGTAAAGCAAGAAAGTTAATTTTGACATCTTAGACAAAATCGTGGACTTTTTATGTATGGTTAGATGTTTTCTGAGACCGTGAACTCTCTTCTAAGAGATATTTGTGTTTTACTGTGGATACGGCTCAGCGAATTAGGAATTCAAATTTCGCGTGACTTCACGTTTCTCAATGCATACATACATTCATGTAATTCGGTTTTTTTGCCCCAACGCTTCGATGAGCATTCTAAAATTCCCGGAAAATTATCATTAAAATTATATCGGTTTTGCACAATGCTATTGTTCCGTTCCCAAAAGTAGGGATCCTTTTTGGGCTGATAAGTTTCAATAAGTGTTGGTAAATATAGAAAGAAAAACCACGGTGACTTTTTTTTTTTAAGTTTACTTATTGGTTACTTTCCAATACTTATATGAAATAACAACTTGTTTTCTGATTATGTGCAAATTAGCAATTTTTATGCTACTTACCCATTTTTATTTGCATAAATTACAAACACTTTGATTATTCCAATTCTTATATGAAATTACTAACCCAAGTTAGAATGAATTATCACTTTTGTCCTATTAAATTACCAATGAGTTTTTGGTTACCAACTCTAATTAAAGTTACTAATGAATGTCTTATTGTTTTTCCTAATTTACCAAATTTTCTATAAAGTTAATTTATTTTTCACTTTGGTCACCCTGCTCACTCTTTTTAGAGATTACCAACGTAAATTATCATGACTCACAAACTTTTTTCTCATTAAATTATTGTCTAGTGTTGCATTACCAACTCTATTTTGAGTTAGGTACTTACCGAGATTTATTCTTCTTTTTTTAATTTGCCAATTTTTATTGTACAAAATTTTATACGCATTTCTTAGCAACGTGTTTAGAAATTACCAGCCTTAATGAAGTTGCATACCAATTTTAGTCTAATTAAGTTATCCACTAGTTATGGATTACCAACTCTCATTTAAATTACTTATTAAGTTCAGTTTTCTTTTGATTACCAAATTTTCTTATCTTTTACTAACTTTCATTTATCTCTCTTGATTATGCAACCCTTTCAAGAAATTACTAGCTTTAATTTAAGTAATTTATCAACTTTTTTCCAATTAAGTTATCAACTAGTTCCGAATTGCCAACTCTCATTTGAGTTGGATACCAATGTTTATTTGATTTTTTTAATTTATCAAGTTTTCTATTAAGTTACTTATTCGGGAATAAAGTTCAAAAGTCACAAATAAAAATTGGCAATTTCATATAATAATTGGTAAATTTAAGGTGTTTGTAAGAAAGTTACATAAGAGTTGATAAAGTATAAAATGAGACAAAAGAAGTTGCTAATTTGAAAAAAATCAAATAAATTTTAGTAATTAAGTGAAATAAGAGTTAGTAACAAAAAATTAACATTATAATGCAAAACATCTTAAATGATTGGCAAACCGATCTCGAGATAAGTTACTTTCCAAATGGAGAAGCTCTATTTATGGAAACTATGACTTTGGTTGTATGGGCGACCATAATCAATAAAGATTCATATTTTATCATTTAACAGCTACTCAATCTTCTTAATACGGATTTGTCCAACGGGTAGATTGGAAGATGATCCTCTGGAGACTGTCCAACGGCTATATTGGAAGTGGATGAGTATAAAAGGAGACCAAGGTGCCGAGGAGTGAAAGCAAGAGACAAAGTCCAGAATTTAGAATTTCAAAGTTTGAGCAAACTTTGATCCTGTATATTTTTCTTTCATGAGCTACATTTTGTGATCTTAAGAGAAGTATTGAAAGAGTGGTTGAATGAAATAGTGAGATCTATCATACACTAAGTGTTATCACTCATAATTGTAATCTCTTGTCGATCTTCTAATGGAATCAAGCCAGTAGGCTGTTAGCGTGGGAGAGTGAACGTAGCCTTGATCTAAGCCGAACCACTATACATCTTGTATGCAAATCTTATCCCTAAGCTCTTATCGCTCATTATTATATTCTGTTGCACACTTGCTAAGCTGCTTCTGAAGTTTGTTTAGAATATGAACTTTGCACTGTAAGTTCAGACTCAATTTTTTGACATTTTAATTATGCTTTAAATTGGTCAAGATTTAATGAAATCACCTATTCACCCCTCTCTAGGTGATCTTTGCTAGCTACATCAAACTTAAAATAGTAGGAATATCAACCTTATACAACTCTAAATGAGATTCTACATTTACTATAATGAGAATATAAGATTCTTAAGCGCAACCATCATAATGTCTACAAAGACCAAAAAGGTATTTGGGAAATAAACTGAGAACGTATGTTTTGTTGATTTAGGAAATTGATCGAAACGAAAACATATTCTAAAATCCAAGTAATTGTGTAATACGAAACCTTTGTCATAGTATGAAGGATTGCTTTGGCTTTGTTATGGAAATTTGAGAAATGAAATTGAATAAATTGAAAGTTTAGGGACTAGATTGCACATTTCTCAATAGTGTAGCGACTTACGGTGACTTTCTCTCTTATTTAATAAAAAAAATTACTACATTGAATATGTAAAAATAGTTCATGGACCACATTGAACAAATTAAAAGTTCAATGGGGTAACATTGCACATCAAAGTCAAAATTTGGGAACTATTATTGTCATTTTCTCTTTACAATATTAATGCTACTTTAAAAGAATGAATACATGAGCCAGATTCTTATTAATTAATGTTGTGAAATAACATGAAAGCTAACGAATCTTACAATTAAAGTCTAACACAAGAAGAAAACATTATCTAAGAAATCAACAAGGAACGATAAGAACAACAGAGATTTTCCATGGTTTGGTTTAAGTGTCAATAGCTACTCAATGGAAAAGCAAGACACTAATAAATCCATTATGAATCCGGAGCTTATAGAATTTGTGGTCGTTTAATCACTCAAGTGTTTCCTTGTTTAAAATTACATCCAAAGCAAAAACCACAAGTGCCAATTCAAAATCTCTCACTGCAAACACACTCAGAAAATTCATATAGAGAAAACCCTAACATATTTTTTGTTTGCCCTAATGTAACCTAGTACATTTCATTTCTTATATATATAATAAGGTGGGGCTATTTGTGACGCTCCAGAAAGTCACATGCGTTCATAAGATTATTAATCTTATTTAATAATTAGGCCAACGGAAGTTAAAATCTGAACACTTCTTAACCACGAAAATTACACAAGTATAATTAAAGTACTTATGCTTCTTTCTTTATATTACCTATTAGGTTTACAACTGCATTCCATAGTTCATACAAAAAATAAAAGTCTGGGTAAGTCGAGGTTGCCTATCTCCATACTACATTATACTCCAAAAGTTTGTATGTACAAAAGTAGACTTTACAAAGAGTCGTAGGTGTCGCCGCCGTCATATTAGCCAAAATCCTGCAATGGCCCAACCGAGTTGTCATTGAGGTTCACATACCATTTTATAAACCAATGAGGAACCCACTCCGGAAGCCTCACATCAACCCATATGGTAGATATACATCTAGTATAAAATATATCCGCCCCTGGGAAATGCATATCAACGTACTGGCACTCATAGTGTCTAGAAAAATAGGCAAGCATTGGTGGCAGATTATCCATTCCTACATGTCTGAAAAAAAAAGGAATGAGCCAATGCCCAGTAAATAAAATCTCCAGTTTTAAGTTAAAAAAATTAGCTTACCACTTCACTCGGCACAAACAACGTCAATGCATAACAACCAGCAAGTATGCATAGAACTTGAATAAATGTTATACCTTTTCCATTTAGATATGCCACAATAATCTAATCACTTCATTATTCCACAATATTTTATTTCAGACGCAAGCATGTAGTACATAACACTCATGCTCATGCGTTAGGTTCATCACTTGTCCTCCTGAACTCTCTCAGGGCATCCTGTACCACACAGTGGGGCATCCCGACACTCCTAGGGCATCTTGTACCATACAACAAGGTATCCCAAAACTTGGGGGCATCGTCACCTTTTGATTCATGGGTGATGGAACTATATTATTTCCATGCAAACCATAACCATATTCATAAGCATTTATACGCATTTCATTATGCACATTCACCTTTTTGCTCCACCATATATTTCTCAAGAAATGAAATCTTAACCAAACAAACAAGTATGAAGCAATACGGGTTTAGACTCAAAAGGCTAAAGTCTACTCAAGTTCAGAAAGTACACATATCTAGACTTTGGAGATAAAACCTACTCGGTTTTAGAAAATACATATATCCAGATTTTGAAAATAAAGTCTACTCGAGTGCAAAATACATATGTCCAGATTTTGAGAATAAAGCCTACTCGAGTTCAAAATACATATGTTCAGATTTTGAAAATAAAGTCCACTGGAGATCAAAATACATATGTCCAGATTTTGAGAGTAAGTTCTGGTCGGTTTTAAAAATAGACATGTTCAAATTCTAATAGTAAAATCTACTCGGTTTTAAAAGTAGACATGTCCAGATTCTGACAGTAAAATCTGTTTAGTTTTAAAAATAGACATGTTCAGATTCTGACATAAATTCTATTTGGTTTCAAAATAGACATGTCCAGAGTCTGACAGTAAAATCTATTTAGTTTTAAAAGTAACAAGAATCATAATTTGAGGCTAAAATCTGCTCAATTCAAAAGTAAACAGAATTAGAATTTGAGGCTAAAATCTGCCTAGTTTAGAAGCAAATAGAATTAGATTTTGAGACTAAAATCTGCTTAGTTCAGAAATCAATAAATTTTCACGAATGATGGTTAAGTCTGAACCTAAAGTATGGCTTTATCCAAGTTCAAATTCATTATTTCCATTCACCACATGTACCCCCACTTAAGTCAGATGATCAAGTACCTTTTGAACATGCATGAAATTAGCAAAA